TTGTTTAATGTCATCAAATCAGAAGTAAAATCTAGGCTCTGTTTGCTCTTTTGGTTAACTGTGTAATTATAATATGTGAGTTTCTGATGTGATCGGGAATCTCTATGCTAGATTACTGGGATTAATGACAGAATTATTTCTCCTTTTGTTAGAGTTAATTTGTTCTATATGAGGGAACAAGCCTCCAAGAATATAGAGAGAGAAGAGAGATTGATTTAATTCTTTCTTCCTTTATTCATAAGAGTCCAGACCTTAAATAAGCCTTACAGGTAACAACGAAACACCTACAGGATGACAACCAAAATTATGAAATGACTACAAACCCCCTCCACTACACTTTATTTATTTCATAGCCAAACTGCTAACGAACTAATAACCAACATTCTAAATAATAAATTAATAATAAATTCTGCTACTTTCTTCTTCCACAAATATTCTTACTTTCTTCTTCCACCAGCCGAGACTTCTCTAGACCCCATATTCTGCAGACCACTTCGGCGGTTGACGAACTCTGTTTGACCTTCTTAACTCTTCTGAATCCACAATCCTAACATTACCTCCCCCGTCCGGCACAACCTTGCCCTCAAGGTTGGAAGGAAGGTCACCATAAGCAGCCACCAGAGGTGCTGCATCCTCCCATGAAGCATCTTCCAGCGGCAACCCATGCCATTGAACCAGAAGCTGCTCTATGGCCTCACCATGACGCTATACTGTCCGGCGTCCCACCACTGCCAACGGTGATGCCAGTGGCTGTCCTTGATAAACAAAAGGTGGCAGCGATAACTCCCCTCCCTGAACTCCTGCATGACAAGGCTTCAAAAGAGACACATGGAAAACAGGATGAATCTTTGCACCCATCGGTAACTCCAGCTTGTAAGCAACCTGCCCCGCTTTTCGTAAAACATTGAAGGGACCATAAAACCTTCTGGCCAACTTGGAATGACTTTCACCTCGCACTGAAGATTGCCAATACGGCTGAAGCTTCAAATATACCATATCACCCTCCTGAAACTCCGAGTTGCGGCGATGTCGATTTGCCCCCTCGGCCATCTGCTGTTGAGCACGCAACAAATTAGTGCGCAAGTGGCGCAGTAAGTTGTCTCGATTAGTCAGTGCAAAATCAACCGCTTCCAGAAGCGAAGTGCCCCTCATAAATGACTGAATGACTGGTGGCTCTCTACCATAAACTAGCTTGAAAGGAGTGGTGCCAGCAGCTGAGTGATATGAAGTATTGTAGAAAAATTCTGCCCATGGTAAATACTCAGCCCACTTTTGCAGCTTGTCCGTTGTAAAACAACGCAAGTACTGTTCCAACGCCCAATTAGTGACCTTCGTTTGGCCGTCAGTTTGTCGATGGTATGCCGAACTGTGCTTAAGAGTGGTTCCACTAAGGGTAAAGAGTTCCTGCCAAAAAGCACTCAAGAAAATAGGGTCACGGTCAGTAATAATTGATTTGGGTAAGCCATGAAGCTTATAAACCATCTCCACAGACAGGGCCGCAACTCTAGCTGCAGTAAATCCTTTTTTGAGCAACCCAAAGTGAGCGTGTTTTGTTAATCTATCCATCACTACCAAAACTAACTGAATAACCCGCAGACAACGGAAGACCTGTAACAAAATCCATTGCGATCTCCTCCCATATTTGAGGAGGAATCGGTAAGGGTTGAAGCAAACCAGCAGGTGCTTGTGCTTGGTACTTCGCATGTTGACAAATATGACAAGCTAGAATGAATTGTTTGACGTCCTTAGCCAACCCCGACCAATAGAAATTCAACGCGAGTTTGCTCAAGGTTTTCTTGTGGCCGCCGTGACCGCCCAATGGAGAGGAGTGGAACTCAACCAGAAGTTGTTGCCTCAAACTAGCGTCGTTAGGCACCACCAAGCAGCCCAAATAAAATAAGAGTTGATCGTTAGGCACTGCATACCTAGGATGAGCTGATGGATTGTGTTGCAATTCACTCACGATTTTTGCACATGAACCATCGGTCAACAAGGCCTTGCGCAACTGCCATAGGACATCAAAAATCAGAACAGATAAGGTGAACAACCCTGGATTGTTGGCAGATTCTGCACTTTCATGTTGGCGGGACAAGGCATCAGCCACCACATTCGTTTTGCCGGATTTGTAACGCACTGTAAAATCAAATCCCAAGAGTTTAATGAGGTAAGTGTGCTGTTCAGGCGTCTGAATGACTTGGGTAAGGAGATTACGCAAACTCTGATGGTCTATGTGAATTATAAATTTTCAGCCCAAAAGATATTGACGCCAACACAAGATTGCTTCTGTTACTGCATATAATTTGCGAACATAGGCAGACGCTCGCTGCAGCTATGGAGAAAGTTTCTTACTGAAAAAAGCAATAGGGTGAGCATGCTGTATGAGGACGGTGCCAACTCCTGTTCCAGACGCATCAGTCTCTACTTCAAATAACTCATCAAAATCAGGAAGAGCCAACATTGGAGTCTGAGTCATAGCCTGTTTCAAGTTTGTGAAAGCCTCCTAAGCAGTATCAGACCATGCAAACTTGTCTTTTTGGAGCAGAGAAGTGAGTGGGGCTGAAATGGAAGCATAATCACGCACAAATCTCCTATAGTATCCAGTCAAACCCAAGAACCCTCGTAGTTGCCGAACTGGAGATGGAACAAGCCAATCGATCATAGCTTTAATTTTGGAAGGTTCAGGGGCTACACCAGCGCCTGAAACAATGTCGCCAAGGTAGTCTAAACTCTGAGCACCAAACAAACATTTCTCACGCTTAGCAAAAAATTGGTGGCCACGAAGGCACTGAAGGACAGTAGAGAGGTGATGTACATGTTCCAGTGTTCTGAAACCGGACTGGACCGCCCGATCGGACCGGTTCAACCAGCAACCAGTGGCAAATCCGGTCCGGCATATACAAAAAACCGTTATTTGAAGTTAAACCGGATTGGACCGCGGTTGGACCGTCGGAATAGTGCCGAATCGCGGTCCAATCGCACCTAAACCCCACCGGATTCCGGCATCTTTCGACAGAGAAAACACCCACATTCGACGGACGGCATCTCCACGACCAAATCATCCATTTTCAGTCGTCATCATCCAGCCTTCGTCGATCACTGTCCACCTAAAGTTTACGGCTTTACGCGACGTCAGACTTCTTTCGTTGATTTCGGCGAGTTCCGACGCCGATGGAACTCCGTCGCACCACCATCAGAGTCGCCGGCACCTGCACATCAAAAGCCCCAAGATTCCAGCTTTGATTGGCCGTCGATCGTCGCTGCCGCCACACTCACTAGAATCTTCGCTCGACATGGGTGTTTTAGATAGATTTCAAACCTTAAGGGAGTATTAAGGGTTGTTTTTGATGAATTTCAAAACTTTAGGGACTAAAAATAATTTTACAAATTACTGTCCAACCGATCGATCCAACCGGTCAAACCGAAAACCGGACCCTTGAACGGGTCATTGTCCAGTCCGGTTTTCAGAACATTGACATGTTCTTCAACGTCACGGCTATACACCAAAATGTCATCAAAGAAGATTATGACAAACCGGCAAAGGAATGGTCGGAACACCTCATTCATGGTACCTTGGAAAGTTGCTGGGGCATTGGTGAGGCCGAATGGCATGACCACAAACTCATAATGGCCACCATGAGTGCGAAAAGCTGTTTTTTCGATATCCTTCTCAGCCATTCGAATCTAATGGTAACCTGACCTGAGATCAATTTTGGAAAAAATTGTAGCTCCAAATAACTCATCCAATAACTCATCTACTGTCAGGATAGGAAACTTATCTGGAATGGTGATTTTGTTCAAAGCTCGGTAGTTAACACAAAACCTCCACGAACCATCCCGCTTTTTAACCAGCAAGACCGGCGATGAGAAAGGACTACGGCTAGGGCAAGTCAATCCACTCTCAAGCATCTCAGAAACCATTCATTCCAATTCCCCTTTTTGAAAATGCGGGTAGCGATAAGGGTGCACCTGTACTAGTGCAGCATGTTACTGCAAACAAATGTGATGTTCACTGTTACGCGACGGAGGAAGACTCTTGAGAGGCTCAAACACATCAGGAAACTAAGCCAAAACAGCCTGGATAGGTGGAGGCATATCTGTCATTGTGAACATCTACGATAAAGGAAAATCCCCTGCTGGAATAGTATAACAATGAAAAGAAACATTAATGGAATCCACACACATCAACCTTTCCAATTGATGCAATTGAATCGGCTCCACTTGCTGTGGAGGGGGCCCTTCAATGTCAATGATACACCATCCCAAGTAAAAGAAATAGTCAATTCCTTATAATCCATTATAACCGGACCCAAAGTTGCTAACCATCGAGCACCCAAGACAATATCTGCACCTCGAAGAGGAAGAACAAACAAATCCACCACAAACTCATGACCATCCAAATTAAGAGCAACATCCCCACACATACCCGAACACCCCATGGTATCTCCATTGCCAATCATTACCTGAAATTTCGCCGAACCAAGAATTGGCCGGCCAAGGTGGGTGGCTGCTCGTTCTTGAATAAAATTGTGCATCGATCCTCCATCAATAAGTACCTCTAAACACCGGCAAAGTGTTAAACAATCCAAAGAAATAATAATAAAAAAGAGGAGGCTAAGGTTTCATTGATATTGCACAATTCAATTGAATACAAAAAGTATGATTTAACCTAAATACAAAGATATATATAGGCTAAACAAAGGAAATAATGAAAAGACAGATATACCCTTAATAAACAATAAAACAAAATAACCCATATTTCTTAACATGTCCCCTTAAACTCACGATGCGGCAGCTACAAGCATCGAGAGTTTGCCAACTAGAAAACGAAAACGGGAAATAGAATGCGACTTGGTAAAGAAATCTGCAATCTGCAAAGAAGAAGAAACAAAGGGCAAGGTAATGGTGTCATGCTTGATATGATGACGAGTAAGGTGACAATCGATCTCAATGTGCTTAGTTCGTTCATGAAAAACCGAGTTATGAGCAATCTGAATAGAACTTTAGTTGTCACAATACATAGGAGTGGGATGAGAAAAAGAAATGCCCATATCTGCAAGTAACCAACGTAACCAAACAATCTCTTTGGTAGTAGATGCCATAGCACGATATTCTGCTTCGGTTGAAGATTGAGAAACAATGGATTGTTTCTTGCTCTTCCAAGAAATAAGAGAATCACCCAAAAAGATACAGAAACTAGTAACAGACTTGCGATCCGTGAGATCACTGCCATGATCAGCATCAGAGTATGCACGCAGCTCCAAGGAAAAGGTGGATGGAAGTAAAAGACTCTGAAAGACTGTACCCCAAAAATACCGCTAAATACGAAGAATAGTTGCCTAATGAACTGTAGTAAGAGAAGCAACAAACTGACTAACAACATGAATAGCATATGCAATATCTGGACGAGTAATAGTGAGATATACCAAACTCCCAACAACAGTACGGTATAAAGTAGGATCTGACAAAGGTAAACCATCAGAAGAAGAATACTTTGCATTAACCTCAATCGGAGTATCGACGGTCTTATTATCAGTAAGTCTAGCCTGCTCAAGAATATCTGCAACATATTTCGACTGAGAGAGAAGATAACCTCTAGGTGAGTAGGCTACCTCAATACCCAAGAAATATCGTAGAGAACCCAAATCCTTCATTTCAAACTGTTGAGCTAACTTTGTCTTCAAAACTGAAATACCATCAATATCATCACCAGTAATAATCATGTCATCAACATATAAAGACAGAATGATACGACCTGCATCAGTGCACTTAACAAAAAGAGCAGAATCATGACTACTAGAAGCAAATCCAAGGGAAGAGATCACAATAGAAAATTTCTCAAACCAAGCACGAGGTGCTTGTTTAAGACCATATAACGCTTTCTTCAGCTTGCAAACATACCCAGAATCATGTGAAACACCAGGAGGGGGCGCCATATAAACTTCTTCTTGAAGATCTCCATTCAAGAATGCATTTTTAACATCAAGTTGAGAGATATGCCACTGACGAACCGAAGCTACTGCAATAAGAGTACGAATAGTAGTCATTTTTGCAACAGGAGCAAATGTCTCCTCATAATCCATACCATACTGTTGAGAGTACCCTTTTGCAACCAACCTAGCTTTGTATCGCTCAATAGATCCATCAGAATTAGTCTTGATCTTATACACCCAACGACAACCAACAACAGTCTTACCAGGAGGTAGAGGAACCAAATCCCAAGTACCTGTCTTATGCAAAGCAGAAAGTTCCTCATCCATAGCTTGCTGCCAAAGAGGATCAAGAATTGCCTCTTTATAGGAAGAGGGCTCAGAGAGACAATGAATAGAAGCTAAAAAAGAAGCAAAAGATGAAGAATAACAAGAATAAGCAAAATCTGGTAACTTTGTGGACTTACGAATGCGTATGGATTGACGTAGAGGTGGATCCACAATCTCAGACGAAGCTTGAGTGACCATAGGAGAAGAGGGAGCTTCAGGTGTGCTGGAGAGTAAAGTGTCAGTACCTGCAGAATGATCAGTACTAGGAACCTGAGATGACAAACTATCAGAATCCTCAGAAAAAGGATCTATACGAATTAGATCAGATCTAGTCAAGGTATGAGTAGTGGATGGAATAGAAAAGAAAGGTATATGCTCAAGAAAAACAACATGACGAGACACATAAAGTTTCTGAGTTATTGGATCAAAACAACGATACCCCTTTTTACCTTCACCATAACCAAGAAAGACACAAATAACAGATCGAGAGGACAACTTGCTGCGTTCTACATGAGGACGAAGAACAAAACAAGTACAACCAAAAACTTTAAAGGAAGAATAATCAGGGGCATACCCATACAACTTTTCGAAAGGAGAAAAACCTGAAATATGAGAAGATGGAATTGTATTAATCAAACCTACAGCAGTAAGAACAGCTTCACCCCAAAACACACTAGGAACAGAGGAAGACAATAAGAGAGAACGAGCAGTTTCAACAATGTGCCTATGTTTTCTTTCAGCCACACCATTTTGCTCAGGAGTATCTGTACACGAGGTTTGGTGAACAGTTCCATCTAATGCAAGCAACTCACAAAATTTATTAGAAGTGTATTCCCCACCCAAATCACACCTAAAACATTTGATAATAGCAGAATGTTGAGTTTTGACAAGAGCTCGAAAGGCTGTATATATCTCAAAAAATTCAGAACGATGTTTCATTAAATAAACCCAACAATAACGAGTATGATCATCAATAAAAGAAACATAATATCGAGACCCTCCTTTTGTGGCAACAGGAGAAGGTCCCCATACATCAGAATGAATCAAATCAAATGGAGAAGAAGAAACAGAAATACTTCGATTAAAAGGTAAAGCTGAAAATTTTGCCAGTTTACATCCACTACAATCAGAAATATCACAAGTTTGCAAATTTCCTAAAGCCCCTGTGGATGCCAAAAATCTCAAACGAGAAGACGAAACATGACCTAAACGAGAATGCCATAAATAAAAACTAGAAGAAGAAGGACTCAAACGAAAAGAAGACAAATCAACACTAGTAGCGGCAACATCAGCACTAGTAGCAGCAGCAACTGGCACTTTTAACTCATCCAAAATATATAGTCCCCCCTTCCTACGGCCTGTCCCAATCAGCTTCTGAGACTGTAGATCCTGCACATAACAAGAAGAAGAGGAAAAGGTGACTAAATTACCAGAATCACATAACTGACCAACAGAAGCAAGATTTAATGTAAGTTTTGGAATATGATAAACATTAGAGAGAGACAAGTGAGGTGTGACAACAGAACCAACACCTGCTAAAGGCATAGGAGTGCCATCAGCAGTCATGACAGGAATAGAAGACGAAGGGGACACAGAAGCAAAAGATGAAGAATCTGGAGACATATGATGTGAAGCACCAGAATCCAAAACCCATACAGAATGTGACATACCTGAAGAACTATGAGGTAACTGACCTACGGAAGAAGAAGCAGACATAGCTTGTGGCTGTAAGGAGAGAAACTTCTGAAATTGCTCAGCCAGAGTACTAGGATCGGTGAAAGGACCTGATGAAACTACTGCTGCAGTATTAGACTGTGGTGGTTTGTAACCCTGAGGTGGTCTATGAGCATTAGATTGTGACTGGTTGCCAGGCTTCCAAGCTTGAGATTGCTGCTGCGATTGATTCTGCTGCCTCAACTTAGGACACTGAGCCTTCCAATGACCTTTTTGCTTACAGAAACTGCACTCGTCGAAGGCAACCCTTGTGTAAGGTTTATTCTGATTATTAAAGACTGGCTTCGAAGGTACTGCTAACACAGAAGGATTAGAAGTCGAAGCAGAAAGAATTCCCTTTTCAGAATGAGACTTAAGACGTATTTCTTCAGCCAATAACTCACTGACAACTGAGTCAACAGAAGGCATTGGAGAACGATGCAAAATTGAACCTCTAAGTCCTTCAAAATCACTACGAAGTGCCGTTAAAAACTGTACCAACCGTTGCTGCTCCCTATGAGCAATATAGGCACCACATGCCTTTAATTCTGCAGATTCTGTAAGAGCCAATTGATCCCAAAGATCTGTCATAGCAAAATAAAACTCATGAACACTCATATTCTTCTGCTGAAGAGCTCGTATGTCATTCTCCAATTGATACTGCTTTGCAAAATTGACTGAGTAAATAACCTTTGTAGATGATCCCAAACCTCCTTTGCTATCTCATACTTCGCTAATTGTGTACCTATGGAATGCCCAACAGAATTGTTAATCCAAGTAATAATTTTTGCATTGTTTGCTTCCTAGGCATCTATCAAAGCATCATAACCCTCATCAGTATTCTTAGGTTTCACAGAAGTTTCACTAACATATCCCCACATCTTTTTACCCTTAAGAAAATTTCTCATCACATAACTCCAATACGAATAATTCTTGTCATCTAACCTCACACTTACAGACTGAAGCGAATCGTCTCTTTCAGTAGCCATATTCAAACAACAAAGAAAACCAGAATGCAAAAGAAAGGAAAACGAAATACCATATTGCCGAAATTGAACGAATACCAACGAAATATCAGATTGCAGAAACTGAACGAATACCCTCTCCAATAATTTTCGGGCCTCGGGGCAGAGCTATGTTTAAGATTAAGCCTCGTCCCATGAAATTTTGCTCTGATACCATGTTAAACAATCCAAAGAAATAATAATAAAAAAGAGGAGGCTAGGGTTCATTAATACTGCACAATTCAATTGAATACAAAAAGTATGATTTAACCTAAATACAAAGATATATATAGGCTAAACAAAGGAAATAATGAAAAGACATATCTACCCTTAATAAACAATAAAACAAAATAACCCATATTTCTTAACACATACCCGAACACCCCATGGTATCTCCATTGCCAATCATTACCTGAAATTTCGCCGAACCAAGAATTGGCAGGCCAAGGTGGGTGGCTGCTCGTTCTTGAATAAAATTGTGCATCGATCCTCCATCAATAAGTACCTCTAAACACCGGCGAAGAACAATACCATGCATACAAATTGTACTTGGATTCCTTTGCCCTACTAACGCATGGAGACTGATAGCAACAATCTCCTGATCCTTGCTAGAGTTATCTCGCACCTCAATTTCCAAAGCAAGAGGATGAAAGTCCTCCACCTCCCCTATTAAAAGATGAAATTTTGGCTTACAACGATGACCAAGCGAAAAACACTCGTCACAATTAAAGCACAACCCTTTATCGCGACGTTCTTAAATCTGAGCCGCGGTCAGACACTTCACCGAAATCGTGGAAGAACGAACAACCATGGGATTGTCGATGCGGGGTGGTGGTCCAGGCAATAATGGGGGTAAACTAGAGGGTGTAAGGCTCGACCGAGGAAGGTCCCATGTGCGAGACCTAGGCTGGCGAAACAGTGGCTGAAGCTCTCTTAACTTATCTTCTTGAAGTTTTGCTAACCCCATAGCTTGCGTCAATGAGAGTGGTCGAAAAGAGCAAACCTCTCGCTGAATATCAAAACGCAACCCTGAAACAAAACAACTAAGTAAAAAAAAGTCAGAGACACCTGAAACCTTATTGACCAATTCCTCAAACCGATGTTGATAAGTTGCAACAGAACCATCTTGAAACAGCTTCGCCAATTGCCCTTGGTAGTCGACAAAATCCGACGGACCAAAACGAGTCTATAGATCCTGAAGGAAAGAATGCCACGTTCTCAACTGACCATTAGCATGCATCCAACGATACCATGACAAGGCAGGGCCATCCATGTGAAAAGAAGAAATTGTCAAGCGCTGCTCTGGTGGCATCTCATGATAATTGAAAAATTGCTCAGCTTTAAATTTCCAACCTTCTGGATCTATACCATCAAATCGGGGAACCTCTAAGCGAAAAAACTTTGGAATCCCGGAAGAAGTGGCGCGCAAACTACTCACACCCTCGGAGGATACGCTGCAATCAACCCTTGTCAACAACACGCCCCCTCTTGACGGTGTTTGCCATTGAAACTGCTCCCACTTCCCATCCAAGACCGAAACCTTCTAACCCAAATCCTTAATATTATTCTAAGGAATCCAACTTCTCTACCACTGCAACCTGGGCAGCCGTAAGTTGAAGTACTTGCTCATCTAAAACTTTCGAACGAGTTCCTTCTGCCATTGAAAGGAACTAAAGC